TGTTGGATTCTGTTTATCTTCGAAGTAGAGAGCAAACACAACACTGCTTGTCATGCTGAATTTTCTATATGGCAAAAGCTTGTGTCTATATTATGACAAATAAATGCTGTGTAGTTGAAACACCTATATGGAAAACATTAACAGGAACAACAGTAATAACGACAAAGCCTACATCATCCAACCACAGACGTGGGGAGGAGGGGGGGATACTGAGACACAATACAGTTTCTCTCCCATAATTCAATAGATCTACACATGAACATATGACGCTTCTTCACATGGAGTCATATCATTAAATCTACGTAATTACAAACTGAGAGCAAAAGCATCAAAGATTCCAACGGCAACTTAAAGATTAACAAATCTATTACAGCACATATTTTTGTGGATTATATCAGGCACAGTGTTATCCAGATAGAATGTTCTCTAGAATTTCAGGAATGCCTACAGCACACACATGGTTGCAAATGGTAATATAGACAGTGAGGGCAAAGCCAAAATCGAATGGAAAAAAGCATTCAGTGTCTATGATTCCACAACCAACCGTGGATACTCCATAGATCCCTGAAAATGATAGAATCATAGAGTTGAAAGTGACCTCATGGGTCATCCACTCCAACCCCCTGCCAAGAAGCAGGAAAACTGCATTCAAAGCACCCCCTCCCCCCAACAGACAACCATCCATTCTCTGCTTGAAGGCCTCCAAAGAAGGAGCCTCCACCAATCTAAAAAACAGTTACTGCATCTAATGATGTGAGCTTTAATCCATGAGAGCTCATGGTAGAGCAGATGTGTCAAGTTTTTAAGCTTGCCACAGTAATATTTGTTGCATTAGGTGCATACAGGTACTACGTTGGAAATACAAATTAGTAGTAACAAGACACCCAGCATGGTATAATTGTATGAGTATTCCACTCATGCATAGAAACACACATTTTCTCTGCCTGAGAAGACAATGGCAAATCACCACTGAATACATCTTGCCACTACCACCCCTATGATATGGTTACTTTAGGCTGGAGTTGATTTGAAAGCACGTAACAAGAACAACAAATGTTCTAGACTCTCTGCCCATTATCCAAGCACACTCCAAAAGGGGGCCCAGGAAGAGAAATATAGTCCACTGGGGGGGGGGGGGGGGGGGGGGAGTTGAAGGTGGAAAACAATTTACCCCGTTTTTGCCTATTTTCCCATGTCATAAACGAGGATTTATTTATTTATTTATTTACAACATTTGCAACTCAGGGAGGCGTACAAGTCGGCAACAAGTAGATGCCATATATAAAAATATGTACATCAATAAAAAGCAAAAACTTCACAATACATTTAAAAACCATAAAAGCCATGAATAATAAAAATTATAAAAACTATGTCTCCTTGTTTCCATGATAGCAACATGGGTGTGGGGAATATCAGGAAAACAAAGGGAAATGATTTTATTCTTTCAACACCACCCCCTTGGTAAAATGGCCCATCCTTCTCTGTCTAGGTCCCCTTTTGGTTTCTGCCCGGACAATAGAAGAGTACCCGGAAGTCTTTCCAAGACCAGTAGTCTCCTTTCTACAGGAACTTAAGGACAATGTCACAATACTTTAATATATCAGCAATACTTGTTGTTCATTTCCAAGAGCAATTGAAGGTGCTGATAAGATGACTAGGTCAGCATCAGGTGGCAGAAAGACTGGTGTTTAAGGCCAAAGCTGTGTGGACTGTGTGGTTTTAAATTAGCCTAGCCCTTAGGCATAGTACAAAAGTGTTCCACCAATGGTGCTGAGAAAATGTTCAACTACATAACCAGTCAGCTTTTGTACATGGAATTGGTGTGAAAATCCATCTTGTTATTCATCTCAGACAGCAAAATTTATCAGTCTTGTGCTGGCTATTCCTTTGCAGGCACCTGAGACTAAGCTATTTGGTTCACCAGCATTTGATGATAGTTCCTTTTTCAATAAGCTTTTGATATCTGAGCTTTCCAGATTGCTGTGTATTAAATCATCTCTCTCTCTCATTTTTAATATTGTGCTGTTGTTATTTTTAGATGTTTTACTTCCTTTTAATGACTCCACTACTCCAATGTAGTAAGTTTTTATTATCTGTTTTTAACAGGGCAAAGTAAACTATAGAATTTACTATAAATTAAAATAAATAAATCTTCTGTAAGCATTGCACTGTGGTTGCTCTCCTCCTTTGGCGATAAGTCCTCTATCTTCTAATCTGATGCTCCTTGCCCTCACCCTGAAACTTCAACATCCTTTCACACCCTTAATATGATCTGTTTCTCATATCTTGATATGTTGTGGCCATGATACACTCCTCCAGCTCTGTAATTCTAAGTCACCCTCTGGACTTAAATAACATTGCCCATTTTTCCTTGATGCCTTTTTATGTCTAGCACTGTCTCCTAGAAAAGCTACCTAATATGACCTCAATCTCTTTCCCCCTCTTCTTCCAAAACTCAGCTTCATAACCATTATTGTTTCATAGTCATGCCCACATGAAAAATCTTTAAGTATACCTAGAGGCATCTCTTCGCATTCACCTTTTTTATTTCCTCTCCCTTTCCTTCTGATTTACATTTGGACTGTAAGCTCGTTGGATCAAGGTGCTCCATTTTAAATGCTCTTATAAAGAACTGTGTGCAAGGACACTGTTCTTTAAAAAAACACAAAGCATTTGTTTGCATGCAAAAATGGGGAAAATTGTGCAGAGCATTACATATTATTTGAAGGTCTTTTATATATACACTAAGGAGGCTGTTATCTAGCAGAAGCAAGGAAGTTGTCTCTGGCCTGAGATCGGCTGAAATCAGACCACAAAATGTTCATCATCACTTTTGATCTGAACAACTTGTATCATGCAAATTCATACATAAGAAGCAAAGCAAAAGAAAACCCGAACCCTATGCTCCATGGTTACATGTCATTGGTTTGTGATGTGTCTTCATTTACACTGTCAGCAATATACCATAATTATTTATAAAGATAATTATTTATAAAGATGAAGATATATATACTATTTACTTCCCATTTCTCAGGATGTAATTCAAAACAAGTTATATTTGAAAGTATAACTGGATTCTGTAAATTGTTGATCTGCCACACAAAACACACTCTCCTCACATCTGCTTGACAGTACCTCCAACAAAAAAGAGAACAATGCGCCAGTACGAGACACAAAATGTATGACCTGGTACTTAGTCCTCTACTGTTTACTGAATCCAAGCACTCATAATTATAGAAGGAACTGCAAAGTAGTTATACTGCAAAAGACGTACAGTTTTCCTCTATAAATTACAACTGTAATACGGGTTGAGTATCCTTTATTCAAAAATATTTGGAATCAGAAGGATTTTGTGTTTTTCTGGATTCTGGAATACTATCATATACGTTATGAGATACTTTGGAAATGGAACTCAAGTCTAAACACAAAATTAATTTATGTTTCATAAATCTACCTAATACATATAAACTGAAGGCAATTTTACATTTATTTTTAATGATTTGTGCATGAAACAAAGTGTATGTACATTGAACCATCACAAAACTAATGTCTCTGCCATTTCAGATTATAGAGGATTTCAGAATTTTGTCTAAGGGATATTCAAACTCTTTAGTTATATCTCTATATCTTAATTGCAAGCAATTCATAGTAAGCTAGTTCCCATTAAGCTAACTTCTCCTTTTACTCAAAAATGTTTAATCAGATCGTTGCTTGATCACTTCCTGCTTAAGAACAACCCAAATTGTTATTTAGTCAATATCCTGATCAACTTGCTGTTGTGCCTTTTAGCCATTGGTATACAGGGGAATGCTGCCTCACACTATGGAGACAGCATACAGCCATCATTACTATTAGCCACCAATAACCTTATCTTTCATGAATTTCTCTAATTCGCTCATAAAGCAAACTAAGCTAATGCTCTTAACCACAGTGAACTGCATATTTAAACAATTAGTTATGGTGAAGCAATGCTTCATTCTGTATATTCTAAATCTCCCACATCATAACTCCTCCGGATGCTCTAGGATTGTTATATAATACGAGAGGTAGAGTCTCACTTATTTAACGTAAATGGGCCGGCAGAATGTTGGATAAGCGAAAATGTTGGATAATAAGGAGGGATTAAGGAAAAGCCTATTAAACTTCAAATTATGTTATGATTTTACAAATGAAGCACCAAAACATCATGTTTTACAACAAATCGACATAAAAAGCAGTTCAATACACAGTAAAGTTATGCAGTAATTACTGTATTGGTGAATTTAGGACCAAAATATCGCAATGTATTGAACCAGCTGTGGATCAGGGCAGGAGACAGATTGCATTGGATAATACAGAATGTTGGATGAGCACAGGTTGGATAAGCGAAACTCTACTGTACTTTCATAAGGGTCACATTCACCCATTCCATATCTCCATATCTATTCTTTCAATAGTTTAAGTTTTTAAAAATGTCCTCTCTTCCAGACTAGTTTCCTATCATTGCTGCACTGATGCAACAAGGGTAAATTAATGAGAGGGAAAATGGGAGACCGCAAGCATGCACTAGCAACAGAGGGAAAGTGTGTGGACCACAAGCATGCCATGTGTTTCTGAGATGAGAAGAACACAAATCATTAGGAAGAAAGACCTCAGATGCTAAATATTATCCAATTAAGCTTAAAGTAAACAGCCCTGAGAGATGAACTCTTGATATCTGAGTACCACATTTGTGCAAGGAGCCTAAGACATTTGTTGTGGCATAAACAAAGGAGAGGCAAGAAGAGCTGGTGGCAACATCTGAGATCAATACCTCCCCACCCTGCTTCACCACTAGCCCACAAAGTCAGACCAAAAGTAGGAATAGAAGAACAAACTGATTTCAATCCCTGCCTGAGAAATGGTAGGGGGATGTTTCACAGTGCATTCAACTATATCCAAGCAAAAATGTTGCTCCCCTAGTAGGACACGTCAAGTTGGCAGCTAACCATCAGATAGTGACAATAAAACGTTTCTATTACCTGACAACTGACAATGACATCCAAATGTGCCTGATGTCTCACTGTGAGCCCCGCCAACTGAGTCTGCGCGCACACCGCAGCAAGGCAGTAGGCTCAGGCAGGGTGGGATTGAGGTCAGAGCACGGAGAGGTGGCGGTGCGATCACTGATGCGTGAGGGTGGGAGGAGGCAGTTATGGAGGCCGCTGGCAGATTTGTAGGCCTGGACGGCCCTGGGGAAAAAACAATAGAAAAATCTGTCAGTGGTACCTATGTCTGAAGGGAAAGATGGAGAACAGGAGTGATGTGCAACTGATGTGCCCTACTCACTGTGGACATCAGTTTAACAAACTTAGAAAAGAGAGGCTGAAAGCTCAAGACAGATTGAAGCCGCCAGCCATTATTAGTGTGGTGATTTAAAAAAACATATTTACTACCACTGAAAAAGGCCATAAGAGTTATAGTACTATTGTTTTATTTTATCTGGTATATCCAGGGAAATTCCTTCCCTTTTCCCCCTGATTATTGGGAAGTGGAATTTTTCCCCTACTTGAATCTACATAAATAAGTGATGTGTATTTCCTTCCTATGACATTAACTTATTTTATTTTCTCCCTCCCTATACCTTTTAAGACAGTGGTTCCCAACCTGTGGGTCCCCCGATGTTTTGGCAATCAACTCCCAAATATCCTACCACCTGGTAAACTGGCTGGGATTTCTGGGAGTTGTAGGTCAAAACACCTGGGGACCCACAGGTTGCGAACCACTGATTTAAGACATCTCCTATCATATCAATCTAATTGTGGATTAGAGTTAGACTGTTAGTAACTATTTTATGGGGTTATATTTTAAGCGTTCTTCCTATAACAAACTTAACCTTTATATATTAGTTTTTTAAGACAGTTGGGGTAAAAATATCTAACATACCTCTATCAGTTTGGCCTTGCAACATGTGTGCTTTATTTCTGGAGGCATCAAACAATAGCAACAGAAAACATGCTTTGAAAAGAATGTGCCAACAGATTTTTAGAAATGCCACTTATATCATTGCTGTTCTCTTTGTCCTAAAAACCAAAATAGCTGTGCGAGAAAATTACAACAATTAGACACTCATTTTCTAACATTCTTATTAGATAACAACAATTCTGCTTCCTTTCCCATCAATTTTTTTTCACCAGCTAGTCTGTTGACGAGCTCCGCAGAATTTGTACCACTGGATGCTTTTGTGATTCTAATGAAGGTACTGCCAGGTGTGAGTTATGATTGTACTAGGACTGATACTATCTCCTTGATAGTATCGTTCTGCCCCAGACAAGAACTTGAATGGCCCTAATTTGTTCCATTAAATAATTGGCAACTCCCAATCTAAAAAAAAAAACAAAAACATTTTTTTTTCTTATAAAAAATTGTGTCACAGTAAATGACGTTGGGTTTCGGGTAACACAGCCCACCTAAGACCAACATGGAAGTGTGGAGAGGAAGAAGTTTGAGAAGGCCAATAAGAGAACTTATTTTAGACAGTATAGATGAGAACCAAAGAGAGGCTGCTGAAGTTACACATTTGGTTGGGAACTCGATTTAAGGGGGGATTAGGGCTTATGATGTTCTAAATGCAACCAGCTAACACAAAATCGTTTGCCAAGTTGCCACCAGCATGGACAAACCTTAGCAGCAACTCGCAGCTTGAACAGCTTTTTAGGAACACCAAGAATCAAGTTCCTAGAATAAATCCAACTTGGGTCGCTATGTCCTTCTTGCCACCTGAGCTGGAGCCAGCAATGCATTTTGCAAGTTCCGTTTATGTATTCTGTTCCTTAAGTCACATCTACAAAGAACACAGTCATCTTTCTTTTTCCCTAATGGTTGAGGGGAGTGAAATATGACACTGCACCTTCAAACTGTATTATTTATCTGAAACACACGCACACATCTAGAAATCATCTGTTATTTAAAACTGTAGTCCTTGCTTCTGTACTGTTGGAAGCTCTTGCTCTCTTGGCAGCAGTCAGAATGTAAGGCTTTGACTTAAGTAATTAAATAAAAGCAGAGAAATGTGTACACACAGACACATATTGGATGAAGTTAACTTTCAGTCAGTACTAATCAGAACTCGACTGGGCTGCTAAATCCTGATTTTTGTGACTCCAGCTGCAGCCAGTGTTGACTTGGAGCCTTTGAACTGGAATAGTTAATAATCAAAAGCAGCTTCTATCAAAAGCTTATGAGTTTCATAGACTGGCAAGTTTATTTTATTTGGATTTCTGTCGTGACTCCTCCACAAAACAGACAGCAGACAATTAAGATCCAGCAGATATGAAGATAAACTACATTTTCGTAATACAGCTGAAACAACTGCATAATTTCCAAGCACCAAATGTTGAAATAAAATACCTATCATCATGGGTTTGCCAGAGTTTCGCCTTATTTTCGAATCCACTGTATTGGCATTACATTACCTGTTCGTTTGAATGATCATCTCATTTTACATGTGTCCAAGTATATAAACACTGAAAACATAGATTAAACTCCTCATTAACTGAACATTACATTTTTTCCTCCTAATTTAAATATTCCCGTCAAAAAGCTATAGAAAGCATGTTGATCTAATAGCTATACATTCGAGTCCAATGGGGTACTTCATCCTTGGCAAAACACCCAGCCCTCCCGTCTGCAAGGACTGCATTTGATTTTGTCATTTATCTTAAATGGCTAAGAGACTACCAGGGCAAAACATTTGTGTGAAGCTGTTGCCAAAACCACAATTGAACGGTCTAAATCCCCAGCATAAAATACTTGAGCTCCAAAGCAGCAAGGATAACATTTGCATGCTTTTGGGAGCAGGTTTATTTCTTTGTTTTTAATAGACTCTCTGGACTCTTGGGATTCTTTTTTCAACCTTTGGACCTCACTTCAGATTATTACGCAAAGGTAAAAGAAGCCACTGACAAGAACTGTATCTACATTACAATCTGGAGATGACTTTGCGTGTGCCAAACCAATGAAAGCAGATGGCAAGCTTGCAATGTCTAAATATGCAGAAATAACTTTGCTTGTCATTTGGAAAACACAGAAATAATGGTAGGATTGTTCAATGTATCAAAAAAGATGCATAAACAATAGAGCTTTACTAAAATTATCTTTAAAGTTCAGGATTTTGGACAGAGAAAAAAAGGAAGAGAGGATGCTTCTACTGACCCTTATTATCTTTCACAAGCATGAAAATTTGTTAAACTTGAGAATCCAGAAATTAGGAACTTTTAGTTACCCACATTTTTCATAGTCACCATAACAATTCCTTGCGATGCTTCTTGGAATTAGAGAAGGTCAGAGCTATGGTGGAAATGGGTGGACAATTCGTGGCACTTTGCAAAGGTGCCATTTCACGACTACCCTATATATCAGGCCCATTTGGATTCTCAAATTCTGGATTTAACAAATTTCTGGATTCTCAAGTTTAGCAAACTGAGGCCCGGAGGCCGGATTCAGCAACCAACGTGCTTACCTCAAGCCCTCTTCATTTGCCCTGTCTTCTTGGCATAATGACACAGAAATCCCACAGCAGCTGAGAGCAATCTGGAGGACTCTCAGCTACCACGTCTTGCCCTCCTCCCAGCATAACGATGGTGCGAGCGGCTCCATCCTTATGCTGGGAGGACTGCTCAAGGAAAGAACGTGGCGGTTGAGAGCCCTTTGGAGCACTCTCAGTCGCCACCTGTCTCCCCTTCCTCCTGACATAGAGGACAGCCCAAGGATTGAGGAAGAGGACTGGAGATGTCACCACATGTTCACTTTCCTACCAGCATAAGGATGGAGCAAGAAGCCCTGCCTTTATGCTGTGAGGACACCCGGAGGATGACCCAGTACCTGCCCTGTCCCCTCCTGACCCTGCCCTCTCCTGGGCCCTAACCCTTGATCCCACTCCCTCCCAGTCAGGCCCTCCTGGCCGGGCCTGCAATACGGTCCCAAAGCAAAAAAGTTTGTCCATGGCTGCTATATACTTATGTATCAGTCTAGAATTTTTTGTCAAAAAATCAGCCCAAAACCTGGATCAATTTAGCCATGGGTCAGTGCAAGTACTATACTTTAAATCGTATTAAATTTGGAACCATCCTTTGATCTGCATAGAGTGGCAAAAGGTGAGATATTTATGTCATCTTTTTCTCGTAAATGCTGAAACGGTTTTTCATATATTTTCTCAGGAAACTCTACCATAAACCTGTTATGGAGTCCTAATAATAGTAGTAGTTTCATAGTTTGCTACCTAGATGAATTTTAGGCCACTGCTTTTTAAACGGTGGGTCCCAACCCCAAATGGGCTTAATGTTGAGGTCCTGAAATAAATAAATAAATACATACATACATACATACACTCACAGGGTCATGTAAAAAAATCTCAAGCCAAAAGGGGTTACAAGTGGAAAATTGTCAGAAGTCCTCTCTTAGATCATCAAAAGTGTGAAATCTAACCAAGAATGTAGGAATCATGAGATAGTGTCAAACAACTGGGCATTTAGCAAATGTCTAACTGTTATTAATAAACATGGCTAATGCCCTAAATCTACTCCATTGAGTTCACAGCTAAATTGAGAGATTTCTTCTCATCACATCCAACCACTATGTCACCTCAAAAGTTGAAAAATGGTAACCAGGCTGTCTTCACAAATTTGGTGCTGCTACCTCTTGCAGTAACAATAATGTGTAAACAAATGGTGGGGGATTTCTGCATCACCAGAAAAAAGTAACTGAATAACTACCCACCCACCCAAATTTCTATGGTCATAAAGAAAGTGGAAAATTTTGATGAGCCATTAGCATAGACTTTTGGAAGCACAAATCTTATCCTTCATTTTCAAACATTTTTCTATCATTTGAATCATCTGGATCTGGAAGCAACAAGACAGTACAAAGGCCACATGCTTCAACTTGAAGTGTTGCCTATTTTGACCAAGGTTGTACTGTCTGTCTCCATAAACCACACCTCTATAAAGTAGAAGAGAGTGGTAGATTATCTTCTCCACTGAGTCACAGCCTTTGGGCACTTGAGTGGTTGCCAACATGACCCAGGGATAGTCAAGGTTATAGCCTCCCTATCAGGCCAAAGCAAAAATAGATTCTGAACAGTCTTTTTTTTTAAAAGCAACAAAATGTACATGAAACAACAGAATACAAAACTCTTACAACTCTCTATGGTTTATAGCCACCAAAGGTTTTGGCAGCAATACTAGAGGCAAAA